AAATGTCCGTTTAGTTCCTTGTGAACTTTTGTTCCCATTTTGTGCGGTAAGCGAGAAAACCTAAAAGTCTTTTCTTGTAATGTCTGCCAAGGAACATTTTATTTCTCTATCAGGGATCTGGTTCATTTGAGGAGGTGACTGTGGATTTCACGCTGGAGGAGTGGGAGCTGCTAGACTCTGATCAGAAGACCTTGTGCAGAGAAGTGATGTGGGAAATTTCACAGAATATGGCTGATCTAGGTAAGACCATGGTTTGCTCTGGCTTCCATTCATTGCTGGAGTTTTTTTTTCAATGGAGGATGACTATTTATACTCAGATGGTTAAGATGATCATCCCTCCTTAAGGCCTTGTCAGAAATACTCACCAAAGGCTCTGAAAATGTCCTAGATGTTCCATAGCAGCGGCTGGCTGAACAGGTTGACCAATCAACACCAAAGCCTTAATATATTTCTTGGCCGAAAAATTCTTTGTGTACCATCAAAATGTCCAAGATAACAATTTGCAGCCTTCACATCCTAGCTAGACACTAGTTTGGCACCAAACTAGAACACATGGTTTTCAAAGCAGGAGACAACCCCTTCACCATACTAATTGTAACAGACATATTTATTTTCTTTTTCCCAAGGAGATGATGGGCTGGAAAATGAGAATAACAAGCAAGCAAGATTAAAGACAGAGAAGCATGAAATTGAAGAGGTGATAGTCTGCCATGAAGATGATACAAGAAGACAAGAGAAAAACCACTCAGAGAATGGAGGAGAGACGTCATCTACTGCTGTTCCTATTGGCATCCATAGCTTCCTGTTCCAGCAAGACCTGGAAGGAAAGAACAATGACATATATGGTGAAAAAGAGAAAAGCCAATTTGATTTACCTGAATGTGGCATAAACCAGACTGAAGGGCAAATTTATGAAATGTATGAAAACTATGTCAGTCATTCTTTCTCTCTTACTTTACTAAAGGAACTATACAGCAAAAGCATACCACATACCTTTGTAAAATCTGGGAGGGATTCCAGTCAGAGCAGAGAGATGAAATTATGCATGGAGTGTGGAAAGAGCTTCATTAGCAATAGTGCACTTATTCTTCACCAAAGGATACACACTGGGGAGAGACCACATAAATGCATGGAATGTGGAAAGACCTTTACACAGAAGGGACATCTTAATTGTCATGAAAGAATCCACACTGGAGAGAAACCACATATATGTCTCAAATGTGGAAAGACCTTTACCCGGAAACTACATCTTAATCATCACAAAAGGATCCACACTGGGGAGAGACCACATAAATGCATGGAATGTGGAAAGAGTTTCATTACCAACGCTTGTCTTATTTACCATCAAAGGAACCACACAGGGGAGAGACCATTTAAGTGCATGAAATGTGGAAGAACCTTTACACAGAAAGGACATCTTAATCGTCATGAAAGAATCCACACAGGGGAGCGACCATATAAATGCATGGAATGTGGAATGACCTTTATCCAGAAAGGACATCTTAGTCTTCATGAATGGATACACACTGGAGAGAGACCCTATAAATGCCTAGAATGTGGAAAGACCTATACACGAAAAGGACATCTTATTCGTCATGAAAGGATACACAATGGAGAAAATCCATATAAATGCATAGAATCTGACAAAATGTCCTCCACTCAGTATTCCTGGATCAGTAATGCAGATTCCCAAGCCTGTATCCAAGATGGCTTCGGTACCCAACAACAGCCCTTCCCAAAGATGCACCCACAGTGACAAAAATCCGTATCTCAGATGGAGCTCCTGATTTCTGTGATCATTTTAGAAATTTGGTAGCATTAACTTTGTACTTAATAATCAGGAATGAATGCTGTTTTTCATGAATAAAACATGTTAGCCAAACAGAGTTTTAGAAAGTTATTTTTCTTCTGGATAAATATTTTTTCCAAGAAGGTAGCAATGATATTTAGAGCAAAGAATTACCATATTTTTCGGAGTATAAGACACACCAGAGTATGTGATGCACCAAGGTTTTGAAGAGGCAAATTAAAAAAAAGTAGGTAGGTAGGTAGATAGATAGAGAGAGAGAGAGAGAGAGAGAGAGAGAGATAGAGATAAACACGGTAGGTAGGGAGAGAGAGTGAGTGTAGGTAGGTAGGGAGAGGGATAGAGAGAGAAATAGAAAGAGATACAGTAGATAGGTAGGGAGAGAGAGTGAGTGTAGGTAGGTAGGGAGAGGGATAGAGAGAGAAATAGAAAGAGATACAGAGGATAGGGAGGGAGAGAGATAGTTGGTAGGTAGGTAGTAAAGCGATAGGGAGAAATACAGTAGGTAGGTAGGGAGAGGGATAGAGAGAGAAATAGAAAGAGATACAGTAGATAGGTAGGGAGAGAGAGTGAGTGTAGGTAGGTAGGGAGAGGGATAGAGAGAGAAATAGAAAGAGATACAGTAGATAGGTAGGGAGAGAGATAGTGAGTGTAGGTAGGTAGGGAGAGGGATAGAGAG